GTTCTTGTGATGTTCAAAATTTACTGGATTCAAGAAATCCAGCTTTAGCTTTTTGGGATTTCTTATTGACTACAAGGTGCTCAGGTTTTTTGAGCCAATCTTTTAAAATCTTTTTTTAATAAAATTGAACCTATTTTTCTATAGGTGGCATAGAACAACATTGCAACAATTTTCTATATTTTCAGAGAAGCCTAAACTCACTCCAAAACTATCCTTGGCATCCTCTGGGATTGAATAATTCAAAACAGTGGTGCATTTTGTTTCCAGTCTGACTTGCTTTTGGTTGCAGGTTGGCCTCTTATGATTACCAACATTCCAGCAAGTTCATTACTGGTGGTTGTCACTTAATGACCATTTGCTTAGTGACCATCAAAGTTACAATAGATCCTCTCCAAATCTTCATATGACCCAGTTCCAGCACTTCCCAGGGCTGCACATACCCTGCAGTCACACAACCACTTTTTGGGTGGCTGGCAACCAGCTCATCTTTATGGCTTTTTGGTAGTTTGCAGCCTTTTCACCCATAAAATTACATTAATTTGCTTAATGACCGTGGTGTTCACTTAATGAAAGCAGCATATGCTTAAAGAGCACTGAAAAAAATGTTGTAAAATCGGATCTGGTTATGTGGGTGCCTCAACTTATAACCATCATGACTTACAATTAAAATTCCAGGTTCCATTATAGTTGTAAATTGAGGACTACCTGTAAACAAAATCATTTTTGAAGTGCAAAAGTTTCTGTTCCTGGATGAGCATAGGCAGGACTTTGCTAGGAACCTTATGTCTTTATCACTCATAGATGGAGTCTTTCCTGTTCATTTTTCTGTCAATTCTGCTGATTATAAAAGCTCCCAAATGGCTATTTCAGGTATAAACACCGTTCACTAATGGTTAAGACAGTCATGGTTGTCAGCATTTATATATATATTTTTCCTTGAAAATATTTTCTCCATTTCCTGTGATAAGATGTATCTTCATATTTAGGTCAGTGGCAGCTCTGTGTCCTCAATCAGACCATGAAGCAATTAGAGATTACTAAATTTGATTGCAAAAGCCATCATGAAGTCCTTTAGTAATTCCCACTGCCCTTTTAATAATTTTCTACACTAATTCCCTGGTTCTTTACATCAAAGATAGCTTTTGTTATGGTTGTTAGCTGAGCATAGTGTACTGTACTGATGAAATAATTGCTGTTTGGGTACTTAACCCTCCACCTAATCTTCCATAAGGTTGAGTTGTTTGAGCTAAGTTAATTGTTGGAATGTTCTGAGTTAATCCAACTTTTCAAAAATTAATTTTCTTTAAATACGATAGACAAGTGACTGTGCCATATACAAGATACATCTGGGAAAAATAAGGTTTACATGCATTAGAGCTGGGCAGTTCTTTGGATTCTAAGGCTAAAGGTGATTCAGAATGATTAGGTACACATACACACATCCAAAACTGTATCTAAAAGTCCTTGAATTAAACTTGTCTTTGTTCAGGAAAATTGATACTGTTGATTTAAGGAGTTGCAAACAGATTGTATGCGCCCTCAAAATCCAAAGCAGCGTTTTGTCTTCAAATTCAAAAAATTCCCAAGTCCTATTTATGCTTCAGGAGGAAAACTGTTTTTACTTTCTGGGTTAGTAAAAATGTCTACGAATAATACAAACCAAGGGAAAATTTATTTTAATTGAAGTGATATCTGAGGACTTTTGTAAATGACAACAGTAAAGCTGGATGAAGTTATTTTTAGACTGTTAACACTGAATTGAGGTGACTCATTTAGTAAGGTTTTCAAAATGAATTAGTGGCTCAGTTTATTGCACAAATATAACATACATGATGGTTTAAACTATGCTAAGGTTTTACAATTATATAAACTGGGTAATATCGCTAGATAACTTCTTTTCTAAAAATGATACTATGTACACTTAAATGTTAAATAAATAAAAATGTTCGTGTGTTTTTTGTAGCCACCAATCTTTTAGAACTTTAAAAGATTTGTTTTGTCCTTTTGTTTTATCCTTCCAGTGAAATCCTTAAAGACCTTAACAAAATTCTTTTATATACCCAGTAATAAAAAAATGATCCAAATCCATTTCCTGGTTCAATGGCTGTACATCTCCTTTAGGGAATAAATTATTTATCAATTCTATTTGTATGTCCATGTTCTATTTCTCCGTATCATTGCTTGTCACGTTAAATCTCCCTTCAGACTAATCACAGAATTATTCATTTCAGTATGTTCTTGTTCCATAGCTTCATTACAATATACTATCCATTTTATCAAGAAGTTTGTCTATTTTCAAATAGATTAACAAAAAATATGTTTAATTGCTTCTGTTATAAAATTCTGCTCTGTTCTTTTCTTTATCCTCTAGCTCTCTCTTCTGTCCAGAAGAACACATAAAACCCATGTTATTATCTGGTTATTTATTTGGTTTACTGGAATTCCTATAATAATAATTATTCATTTATCATTACTTCTGTATAAAGATTCATATATTTATTATTTGTAGTAAAGTGTTAATGTAACTATTTAGAAATAAGAGGGTGATTTTTGTCGTTGGACTGGATCCTGCTTGTGGTGAATTACCTATTGTGTTTTCCCAAAAATAAGACTCTATCTTATATTTTTTTGAACCCTGAAATAAGCGCTTGGCCTTATTGCCATGCGTTCAAAAGCCCAACTGGGCTTATTATCAGGGGATGTCTTATTTTGGGGGAAACAGGGTATGCATGTGGCTCTTCCCTGATTTTCAGAAGAAGTCTGATGATGAAACAGAATAATAAATGCCTAGAATGCTGTTAGAGGAGGACAAAGGGTTTAGCTTGACTGAGCATTGATAAAGAGATTTTCTTAAATATTCCCATTGGCAGGCTCAAAATGAGGATAAGATATCTGTCCTGGCCCTCCTTGATCTCCAAGTGGCCTTTGGTACCCTGGCTCCCAATAGTCTTCTATATCTAATTGAAGATACTAAATACCACCTAAAGCGGTCCACATGGCAAAGGATCAGCCTGCCACCCATTGTTTCTGCCCACCACACCAGGTCCAGTAGCAAAGGCATGCTCCAGGTCCTATCATCAAACGGGGTCATCTTGTTGAACTTTTGAGATGTGCCTGCCCTGTGGAACTGCATTTCCCTAGAGATTCATAAGTCTTTGAAGGCCTGGCTGTTTCCCAGGAATGCAGGCCAGGCAATTAGATCAGCTCTGTTGGTAATATGACTTTTTTGGTTGGAAGGTTACTTTTTATAAGGTGTCATGGTCTTATATTGTTATGGTGGTTTGAATCTTTGTACATGACTCAGAGTCACTGTTCTGTAAATCAAATAAATACATAAATAAATCTACCAATGCACTGTGTATGGCCATCTAAACTACAGTTTCTTGAGGTGAATTCAGGATAGACTGCTTGAATCTCATAGAATAACGTCTGACTACCTGGCATTTCCAAAATGGATGAAACTGGTCATCTGGTGCCTGCCCCTGGTAGTCTGTGTAACTAGTTTCAAACTCAGTATTAACATCCATAGTATTGTGCACAGTTAATTAGTAAAATATGAAAAATGATGAACCCTCGAGTTCAATTTTTGAGAGCCAGTATGATATAGTGACAAGGAGTTGGGCTAGAAACAGGTAAACCATGAATTGTGGTCCTCCTTTGAACATAAAAACCAGCTGGATGATTTTGGGCCAGTCATTCTCTCTCAATCCAACCCAAATCATTTTCCCTGTGGTGAGCAAAATAGAAGGCAGAAGCATTAGATAATGCATGCTGTTTTGAGTTGACTAGAAGTAAAATGAGATAAAAATATAATAAATAATCACATAAGCTTGCAGGAGACAATCACTTGAGGCCAAAAAAAGATTAACTTAACAAGAAAAGGATTATAAAACAAAGATGGACTACAATCCTCATAGCACAATACTTGAACAAATTTCTTACAATGGAATGACAATCCCATTTTGCTAAAGGCATTTTCTCTCTTTCCTTCAATCTGTCACTTTCATTTTCTTTTCATTCCTTTCCCCTACTTATCCCACTGACAGAACTACCCCAGTCTACCCAGCCTTTGACTCTCCTCAACCATCAATGGCATATCCTTATTCAGCAGATTCCAAAGCCCATTAAACCATACCTTTGTTTTACGTATTTATCATATATATTTAAGGGGTGGGTAGGTGTATCTTGGCTATGTATTTAAGTGAAGATATGAAGAAATGTATTAACTTAGATTATGTGTGACTCACTCAAAATAAGTAGTAAAGAACAAGGATATGGCTTGGAAGATTTCAACTTGCTCAGCATATGGAAAATTACAAGAATAAGACCTCTAAGAAGACTTAACAAGAATTGATTTGGAGAACACAAAGTGTTTCTTAGAACTAGAGGTGGTTGCCATGTGAACTGGATGAAGCAATAGCACTCCAGGTACAAAGTATTTAGGCATATAGGGAGTATGACCAGATAAGACTAGCATAGGCTTACTAGAAGTCATAAACAATGGTTTAATAGTATTTTGGAGCTATTGCATAGTATTCTGAAAAACAAGTCTCTTTACCATTTTAATGTGACATTCTAGAACAGATCTTGTAACTTTTTCAGTATATATCATGATGGCTATAACTCTTAAACTATCTGTAAGTACTTCAGAAGTCTCATGTTGCTGTGTATCTGTAGCATAGGAGAAATTTTAGGGAAGTTATCCTTTAAGTCTTCAAGATTCATGGAATAGTTGTAGATTTTGATCAAGAAGGTACAGAAGGGATACAGTGATCCACTGCCATAGTGTTGGGCAAACAATCTGAATATGAATCTTACATGGAGTAAATATGGAAGACCTCTTAAATAGAAGGCATGACATTTGAGACATACTGTGGTATTTGAATTCTACTCAAGTATTCTTAGTAATATTAATAGGTTATAGTTGAGCCTCCATTTTTTGATATTGTTAGAGTGAAATGGCAAACAATGTATTTTCACACATAAGACTTAAATAATACTCAAGCTGCTTGTACTATTTATTAACATCTGCTGCTTGCACATGTCAAAAAGAAAATGGTAAAGAAACATTTGTAATATGCAAATAAGCAATTCAGCAAATATATATATTCAACTTTTCAAACCTAATTGTAGTAAGATCCTCATTAAACTTTTCTGTGAAAAAACACCCACTACATCTGGTAACATATAAGCCTCACTTATTTTCTTCAAGATGTTGTACGCTTTTGCTGCTATGCATAATTCCTTGGCCAGCCAAGTTTCATCCTAGCTGTTAATGGCAAAGATTGTTTTTGTTGTTAATATTAACATATTTATTTCTTCATATGTTGACTGATGTGCTACTGGTTTTGAGAATATTTTCTTCTCCAAATTTCAGATTAGGTGGAACTGTATCTGCATACAAGATAGTGCCAGATGAGATAGAAGAAATCAAGGTATAGTGTTAATTATGCTACTGCTCAATTCTTTATTATATTTGTAAATAATATATAATTATGAACATAATATCATAATTCTTAATTTAACTAGTAAATGTTTTAGTATTTCAATGTATTTTACTTCCACATGATAAAGTCCTTTTTAACGAAATCACAATGATTCTTGCATTAGTGAAATTAAGTGCTTCTTTTAACAACTAGTATAATATTGGGATATAAGAGTTAATATTCTTTATTTTACCTATATTTCTGCAAAATTAGATTTAAATATCAATTAATGAATTGAACAATTGATTTATACAATCTATACAGATAGTCCTCGACTTAAAACAGTTCATTTAATGATTGTTCGAAGTTACAACATCACTGAAAAAAGTGACATGATCATTTTTCAGTTATGACCATTGCAGCATCCCCATGTTCATGTAATCAAAATTTGGATGCTTGGCAACTGGTTCATATTTATGATGGTTGCAGTGTCCCTGGATCATGTGAACACCTTTTGCGACCTTCTGACAAGCAAAAGAGGAAGCCAGATTCACTTAACAACCGGGTTACTAACTTAACAACTGCAGTGATTCAATTAACAACTGTGGCAAGAAAAGTCATAAAACAGGGCAAAATTCACTTAACAATTGTCTCACTTAGCAACAGATTTTGGGCTCAACTGTGGTTGTAGGTTGAGGACTACCTGTAATTGATATACCAGTATATGATTGATATATATTTAAATAGTTATGTGGATTGTGTCTTTTACTCAATTAAACAGCACAAATGTAAGCTAACAAATGTAAGCTAACTTAAAAGTTAGGTTTGGGTAATATAATTTGCATTAATTTCTTTTCTCTGAAATTAAATATGTATGTCTTCACCATAAAGTCCACACTATTACACATCAGTCAAGATAAATATGTTTTTGCTTCAAAGATAACATAAATTACCAATAAAGGAGAACATTTGTAGGTCAGGGTTGAAATGAGGGGTCTCTGAGCTTGGTTGTTTTCTTGCAGATGTTTCATTACCCAAACTAGGTAACATCATCAGTGCTAGTCTAACAGTTCTAATGCAAGTAAAACAGTGTTAATATAATAGTGCTAATCTAATCTAATAGTGTTAATCATGTAAATTATGAATAGAATTTTATAGCATACATGCTGCTGAAGAGATCCATACAAATGCACTGCAACAGAGAGAGTCAGAAGTCAACACTTTTTCTTCCACCCCTCCTCACTTTTCTTTCCCCTTTTCCTCCCCATTGTGTCTTATTATTTGCTTTCATATTTTTGTATCTTATTCTATAATCTAATGAAAAATGATTTTTAAAAAAGAGATCCACACAAAAGCTTATGAATGGAAAACTTAGTTCTAAGAAATTTTCCAAATACACATTTGTGAAATCAGAAAACCATTCTTATTAATTAAATCATGTTGCCTATTTACATTTAAAGTGTGCACAAGATCCTGCTACCTCCATTAAAGGATTATATATGAAATTAGTGGATGGATAACGTAGAAATGTATTTTCCTAACAGTGGGACCATACCTGTGGAATGATGTCCTCTTCAAAATTAGCTCACCTGTTTCTCTTTCTTTAGTGCTAACCTAAGCCATTGCCCTGCTGCTTCTAAACAGTTTTGTAATTAATTTTTGGTTTTAAGCTTCTTCATTTCACTGACATATATTTTAATAATATTTGCTTCATATGGTTTTTAATGTTAATGTTATTGTTAGTAACAGTTTACCTTTGTAAACCACTCAGAGAGTTTTATCAGGCAAAAAGGTGTAACAATAGCAACAATAATGTAGTACAAATTTTTCACAGTACAAGAAATTGTAGAAAGAAGTATGTGTGTGTGTGTGTGTGTGTGTGTGTAAAACACTTCAGTGAAAATGTTGAAATCTATACAAAGACTCCTGGACCCCAGTACGCAAAAATATTATAGCTTTTTTTTAGTTTAACTAGAGAACCAATGTTTTGTTTGAAGATTATATTTTATTATTTCATGAACAAATATTTTATTAATAATTCCATATTATTTAATTCCCTAAAAATTTCAAGATTATGTATTTTTATTCTTAATATGAGGTTTTGTATTGTTATATGTTTCTATGGAAACAGGCTACAGTATTTAAAGGAAATAATTGATTAGCAGCTGCTTGGATACTAGTAGTGTATCTTATTAACTCTTCTTATCTTGAATTTGATATGCTAGGTATATCCATATACTTGATTTGGTTACTGCCTTAATTTATTTTTTAGAGCTTGCACAATACACCGAATTGTAAGCTAGTTGAACAGGCTAGGTTCATAGAACTAACTAAACCATAATATTTAATATTAAAATTAAAAGTTACTAAGGCTAAAACAGGTTTAATATATAAAATTTTTAACTATTTTGTTAAAGAGTGTTTGGTAATGCACTGTAGCCAAAATTAAACTGACAAAAACTTGTAAAAGTAATTGAGGCCAAGTTCAAGACATAGTGATATCTAACAATTTGGCATTATTATCTGAGTTGCTCTGACTTGCAACTCTGGAAACATAGTTGCATTAATATTTAGCAGAATGTGCTTTCTCCCTATCTATTTTTATGGCACAGGAAAGTTATTTTTACAAACTGACACTAATTTAATTACTGTTTCCTATGAGAAAAATATTGTCTTGCCAGAGATTATTGGCATCCATCCCAGCAACATGTTTAAGAGTAATATTTTTTTGGAGTTATCAAAACTTTTACTCCAAGATATCATATATTTCTTAATGTTATGTCATCTTGGACTACACTTCTGTATCAGTTACATTCTAAGTATTGAATAAAATATTAACAGTGGCTGAGTTTGTAGATATTGTAACTCTATACATATTAACATATGAATCTGGCCTATTTATGAAATAGCTGTATAACTTCTTTAATATGGAAAGATTGCATCTGTGCCTGACAATTGGAAGAATGTTAACCACTTCTTCCCCTTTTTGGACACATACATATATAAAATTTAATTCAGAAATTTCTCACACTTTCTTTAAATATTGATTTGATGCTCCCAAATTTTATAATTCTTATTATTTTATTGTAATTATATGTGTAGATTATTTAGAAAATAATTGTTTTCATTTATTTATTTATTAAATGTATCTGCCTCCCACCTTGCTGTCCAAGTTTTAAGCTATCATATCAAAAATCAGTGTTGTCAAAAAGTAATTCTGTCAGATATGTTTTAATGAGAAATCCAAGTATGGTTTTTTCCCCTTGGTATTAAGATTCAGGCAGGTTCAAATGGAAGAAGGACAATCTAACCAGTAATCTTCAAGGCTGGCATCCTGTAAGTATGTTGGACTGCAACTAAGAATTGTAGTCCAGCTCATATGAAAGGCATCATCTTGAAAAAGGGTGATTTATGCTCACACCATCATAATACTGACTGAATGTGCTCTGAACATTAGATGACATAAAGAACTAAAAAAAATATATTGGGAAGCAATCTCAAAAGGCAAGAAAAAGTTATTCTCCCCAAATATTTGCCTTATTGATCAGGAAGTTAACTAAAGTAATCTTAACATCTAGCATTGAACATTCAGATTTTTTTTTTATTTTGCCCCACAATAGTTTGTGATATTCAACAGATACTAGGTTAGTATCAACAATAAATCTAGAATAATCATTTCTCATTCTAATCTGAAATTATTCAGGCATGAGTTTTTGGCACAAACAGCTTTAACGATGAACATAACATTATATAGAACAAGAGTGTTATTTTAAATTGTTTTATTTGTGGTAAATAATTTTTTTTAGTTTTTTAATATAATTTCTTATAGAGTTATATGGCAGATTTAATAAGAGCATCTTGGTTTGAGTAAATTATCACTTTATCAGTTTAAATACTAAATTATTAAATTTACTTCAGCCAAACCAAAATATTAACTTTATTTTTTCTATCAGGTTCTTTTGTTTTAAAGCAATTTATGTCTGTACATCTCCAAGCACCAGCTTAGCAGCAAATTTCAATAATGTGGTTATACAAATGCTGTATACTATTTCAGGCTTGATAGAAATTGCAAGGTATGGCATTTTTCAGGATTATGTCATCCTGCACATGTTATTATGTATAGACAAATGATTTTAATGCACATTAGACAGATTCAGAATTAGTTCGGGAGCTGCAATCTATTTTGAACAGTTATAGTTCAAACTGCTCTTTATCACTTATAAATCTTGTCATGAGATAGGGCTATGTTATTGGAAGTATCACCTAATTCCTAGGGTTTCTTTCCCATGGTAAGATTTGGCAGGGTTGGAATATAATGCCATCTGAATGACATTATTCCATTCCAATGTTTTCTGAAAAGATATTTTCCCAGATTTCCATGTACTACTGCCCTAATAATATTCTAGAAGTCCTTAAAACTCTTGACTGTTCTTCTTGGCCTTAAGGTTTATTGCATGTAGTATCCCTGATTGCTTGTTTAAGATGTGGTTTGTCTGGACATATGTCCTTATTTTTATTTTTTATTTATTTTTTAATAAAAAATGAGCTGTACAAAGTTGTTCTAGAGTTAGGCGGCTCAAACCAAATTAATAAATGCAGTGCTAAAATGGTTTTCAGAACACTGGAGCATGCTTTTTGATAATTGAATGTAAACAAACTTATATGTTTCTCCTGATGATTAAAGATCCAAATACTAGCCTGTCAGCCCTTTGAAGTAGATCAGATCAGGAAACTTATTCTGAGGAAGATTAGACCTACACTTTATGGAGATAATAACAATAGAATCTTGCACATCTGATTATGCTTTTCTTCTTCTCCCTGTTATATCACAGTGAGTCAGGAAGGCTGCAACTTTGGTCTCTTTCTTAATACTACCAGCATTTCTAGGTTTAAGGAATGTTTTGATCCTGTGTTATGTAACTGTTTTTGACTATTTGCTTCAGTGCTATTTCTATGACTCTCTATATG